GGTTAGCAGTCAAATGCCTTAGGCACTATGCTACCAGAGCTCCTTAACTGTTTTATTAAGAGAGTTAATTCTAGCCAAAGAAATTTAAAAAACCAAATCTACATTAGGGCCACAATCTGGTCACACACCTGAAGTAAATAAGCTTATGAGTCACAAATCCACTCAAAAGCACCTAACAGTGACAACATACTCAACTTAAAGGAGATCCTTAGAAGGGAAAAATGAAGTTTTTCAAGCTGACGAGTTCTGAAAGTGACTTTGTGTAACATTCAGCCCTGTTCTTTGCTACAGTTGGAAACTGTATGACGCCAACCTCAGGAGGATGGACAGGGAGTTCTCTATGTTGTCTCCTACTTCAAGCTCTCAAGAACTCGATGTGATTCCTCTGTGAATATCACATCAACTGTGGGATGAAGTTGACTTGAAAACCACAGTATTAAATGGCTCAGGGAGCCAAAAACTTGTTTTTCTTTGGCCCATGACCTAAGAATGGTGTGGTAGGCAGATAATGACCCCATAAATAGGACTACAAGGAGCCTTGGTGATGCAGTGATTCAAACCCACCAGCTGTTCCTCAAGAGAAAAATTAAATAGTCTGCTTTCATAAGATTGACAGCCTTGGAAACCCTATGGAGCAGTTCTACTCTGTTCTACAGGGTCCCTAGGAGCCAGGATCAACTCCATCACAAAGGGTTTGGTTTTGGTTTTGTAAAGAGGTCCACATCCTAATCCCTAGAACCTGTGAATATGATGTTCGTTTACATGGCAAAGGGGCACTGAGGCTGCTAATCAGCTGGCCTTAAAGCAAGGAGCTGACTGTGGATTTTCTGGGTAGGCCAATATCATCCCAAGGGCCTCAGAAGTGGAAGAGGGCAGCAGACGAGCCGGAGGGAGATGTGAGTATGGAAGGATGGTCTACGAGATGCTGACTTTGAAGGAGGAGGAAGGAGCCATGAGTCAAGGCATGTGGGTATCTTCCAGCAGCTGTGAAAAGCAAGGAAATGCAGACCTGCTGACCCACATGGGATTTCTTACAGTTTAGAACTGTATGATAATAAGCTTGTGTTGCCTTTAACCAGCAAGTTTGAGGTAATTTGTTATGACAGCGATAGAAAAGTAATACAAAATGATCTCAACATTTTTAAAGGCAAAAGGAAGAAGAGTAGCAACTGAAACCACATGGCCTGCCTGGTCTCAAATATTTACCACCTGGCTCTTTACAGAAAAGGTGTGCCAACCCTGCTCTAGTTTATGACTATTTATCCAGAAATTATACTCTGTGGTCTCTTTTTCCTCAGGAGTATCAGTCAGCTGTATATGACTAGCAGTCAGGGAGGACAGAGGGTCCATCACTGGGGCAGTATCTTTTTCCAAAGCTATTCCTGCTTCTATACTCATGAAGATGGTCAAGTCCGATCTTTATTCTAAAAACTGAATATAAGGTAGATCCCTACTGATCCCCAAACAAGAAGGTTGAAGATTTAATCGACTCAACAATGAATGGGTGTGGTTGTTAAAAGATGGCCACACACCCTTTAGCATTTTTCCCATCAAGAAGTGGGGTCTATGTCCCTTCCCCTTGAATCTGAGAGGGCTGCTTGACCAATAGAATGTGACAGAAACAATAATGTGCCAACCTCTGGGCCCAGGCCTTAAGACTGGCAGCTCTGGCTTCCTGTCTTTTAGAACACTTGCTCTTTAGAACTCAGCTTCCATGTTTTAAGGGAGCTCAAGCAGTCCCAAGTAGAGATCATGGGAAGGGTAAGTGAGGTTCCTAGTCAAGCTCCCAAGCAACATAGTGCCAACCCGAGTGAGATTGCTTGGCAGTGGAGCTTTCAGCCCCAGTTAGCTGTTTCAGGGGCAGAAATGAGCCTTCCACTGCTATGATTCTTGTTAGGTGCCACTGAATCGATTCCGACTAAGCAAAATAAATGGTTGTTGTTTTCAGCTGTTCTGTTCTGGGGTGGTTTGTTGCACTGCACTAGATAACCAGAACTTTGGGTCTTGCAGGTCTTAATGACTGCCAGAATGTTAACTGACCATGGTAAAAAGTTACAATGGAGAATTTCAGATGCCATCATCAATGCTGTCCTAGGAAGTCATCGTTGGATTTGGGTAGTCTATGGTGAAGCTGGGGCAGACATCTCCCTGGATATCTGAAACGACTTTGAAGTGAGAAGACAAAATCATGAAGCTGTGTCTGATTAGTTAGCATTTTAAAAGTGTGGAATGACCAAAAAACCATAAGCAGTTGCCACTAAGTCAACCCTGAGTCATGGTGACCCCAGGTACATCACAGTAGAGCCCTGGTCCAAAGGGTTTTCAAAGATGTGACTTTTCGGAACCAGACCACCAGGCCTTTCTTTTGAGGCCCTCTGGGTGGGTTAGAACCACTAACCTTTCAGTTAATAGCCGAGTGCTTAACCATCTGTGCCATACAGATACAGGAAACCATTTTTCTGGTCCTAGCTCAGGGAGATTTGGGAAGAGGTCCCTTATGTGAACTCAATTTCCTCTTCCTTTCACCCTGTTTCTCTTCTCTAGGACCGCACAGTCCAAACCAGTCCACCAGCACAGCACCTGACACTGAGAACACTGTTTGTATAATCAACCTCTGTACCTGTGCACTTCAGTGGAAGAGAAAAGCCAGAAGTCAACCTTTTCTTAGTCTGCATGTAGAAAACACACAATGTAGCTGTATGAGCAATTGCCAGCCATCAGGCTGAGTGGTTTGGAGCCCTCCTCCTTTATCATTATCAAGTCCCAGTTATAATACTCAAAACCAAATAAATGTGAGTCTGCTTTATACTTGTTTAAAGAAACATCTAAACATTCATACGTCAACGTCTGAGTGAATTCCACCCACCAGTGCATACAGTTTTTTTTTTTTTTTTTAGCAGAAACCCAACATTGACTTAGCAATAGATTGTGCTATAATGAGATAACAAGGAAGGGCACGATACTTGCTTCCAAAACCCACGTGATACAGAAATTCCTCCTTACTATTTACCACACTACCTCCTGAATAAAAGCGATTTCCCCCTTTTTCTCCTGTTCTTGGAATGATGCAAACAGTTAGGCACTTGGCTAATAACCGAAAGTTTGGCAGCTCGAAGCCACCCAGAGCCACCTCAAAAGAAAGGCCTGCAGATCCACTTCCGAAAGGCTTCAGTCATGAAAAGAGTTCTACTGTGCACCATTCTCCTCATGGGCCACTGGTTTGGTGTTCTAATTTCTCCCATTCTCAGAGCTATTGAAACTTGACTGGCATTGGCAAAATACTGCCACATTCAAGCCCGGTTCTCTCTCCCGGGTCTCGGACCATCCTCCAGGACCTCTGTATCAAACACTACAAACCTCTATGTACTCTCCCCGCAGCAATACCACCTACCAGTTTCTTCACTTATCATCGGAGTCTTCCAACTGTAATCTACCACTTCAAAGAAGTCACAAAGGATTCCTGTAGTCTGAAAAGCAGACTCATGACATCACACCCGACCACCTTCATCAAACAGGTTAAGGGAACTTCTCGACATCAAAGACAATTTTATCTAACCCAAGGTCACAAAGATTTTATAGTTTTAGATTTTCCATTTAGGTTTAGAATGTTTCAAGGTCCTTTTTGTAAATGCTGGAAAGGATGGGTGGATGTTTCTCTCTCTTTTTTTTTTTTTTTTTTGACATATGGATGTCTAATTGTTCCGGCACCATTTGTTGGAAATGCTCATTGAACTGGATGTTTGCCAAACATCACAATTATCGGTAACTGGGTACAAGGAGAGGAAAAAACACCAACCTGAAAGCTGTCAAAGGACTGTGCAGACTCAGGCAGGTGGCAAAGGAGCCCCAGGCCCAGCTTCCGAGCAGAGCCACCACCTGACAGTACTGAGTAGAGGCAACCACTTCTTGTGGCCTTCAGAAACGGATACAAATAACCCTCAAACCATGTGCTTGCTACTGAACACAGGGCTGTTGGGTGCCGCTGAGTCAATTCCGACTCAGAGCAATCCCATGTGATGAGGACAACTACCCCGTAGCATTTTCTTGTCTGTAATCTTCACAGGAGCAGATCACCAGGGGAAAAGAATGCCTTAAAACAAACTCACTGCCATAGTGTGGATTCTGACTCATAGCGACCCCCTCCTCGGGTTTCCAAGGCTGTAATATTTCCTTTGCAGAGCAGCGGTGGTTCGAACCACCTACCTTTTGGTTAGAAGCCAAGTGCTTTAACCATTCATTACACCACCAGAGCACCCTTAATGGGCGCCTATGGCAATTAATTTTAAATTGTTGAATGATCTCTTACAGCTGGGATGGAAACTGCGATGGCGAAGAGGAAACTGCTCACTAGCCCCCCCCCCCACCACCACCAGAGTCCAGGGCACGCGCTCTACCTGCCATACTTTTACAAACGCCTTAGCCAGGCCTTTCTTCCACAGCGTTCGAGCCGTCAACCTTCCGGTTAGCAGCTGAGCCACCTGGACGCCTGCGAAACACAAGCAGTGTCCCAGATCCTCAAAGAATCTACAAGCCCACCATCTTTGGGAAGGATAAGTCCGAGAGGCTGCACAGGGGAAGCTGGCACGTGCGCCCCGGTGTTCTCACACTCTGAAACCAGCGCTCAAGCACACTCTCCCATGTACACAGTGGTTTCCACACCGGCTGCGCATTAGACACCCAGGAAGCTTTAAAAACGCGGGTCCCCAGCCCCAAGTCAGCACCAGTGAGGGCAAGCCGGGCAAGTGGCGTCGGGAAGCTCCTGAGGTGCGCACAGGGTCCAGCCTGCGGAGAGAACTCCCTGGACAGCCGACCCGGGGTCCCTCGGCCCGCACCCTGCGCGCCTCCTCTCTTCCCGCCCTTCCAGGCTGGGGTGCGCGGCTGGGGGACCTGGACCCGGCGACGGCCGGAGCGGCCGGGGAGCAGAGTGCTCTAGGTCGGGGCTGCTGTCCCGCCCGGCAGGGGAAGCGCGGGGGGCGGCGGTCCCTCCCGACTGGGCCCACCTGGTCTCCTGGTTGCTGAACTTCTTGGTGACCACCTTGCCCAGCTCCAGGCCCAGCCGGTCGGCCACGCGCTGGGACAGGTCTTGGTGCGAAGAGCCGCTGAAGAGCACGATGTTGGGCATGGCGGGGCTGCGGAGCGCGCGGTGGCAGTGGAGACGGTGACGGTGACGCGGGCGGGAAAGCGCGGTGGCGGACCCGGAGGAGGAGCTGGAAGAAGAGCGCAGCGGGAAGGAGGTAAAACCGGAGGAGGAGCTGGAGGGGGAGGGAGGAGCGAGAAAGCGCTTCGGGACCGGAAGGAGCTGGAGGAGGAGCTGAAGGGGAGGAAAGAGCCGGAGGGGAGGGAGGAGTGAGACTACGCATCAGGAACGGGAGGAGCCGGGGGAGGAGCCAGAGGGGAGGGAGCAGTGAGAGAACGGGAAGAGAGGGAGGGGGAGGAGGAGCTGGCGAAGAGGAGGAGGAGTTGGAGGGCAAGAGGGAGGTGCTGGAGAGGGAAAAGAGCTGGAGAGTGGGGAGCTGGAAGGGATGGGGGACTGTGGGGGAGGAGGAGCTGGAGGATGGGAGAGAAGAGGAACTGGGAGGAGAGAGAGAGAGGAGGAGGAGCTGCTTGAACACTAAAGGCGGGACATTGTGACACCCTGAGTGGTCCTGAAACACATAGGTACCCTTGCTTGTGGCAGGGGTGGGGGGTCTTCAGAAGCACCTGAGATTCCCTTGGGAGTGGGAAGCATGCTCTGCCTGATCTTGACCTTTCTGACCTGCCTCACCAGGGAGTGCAAAGGAACAGGATTAACTGGGGCGCATAGGGAGGGAAAGAGGCAACGGAGGTGCCTCACAGCCAGGACAGACACTCAACACTGAGCACCCCAAACCTAGTGCTGGCTACTGGTGTTCAACTATAGCAAGAGTCAGCAAGCTACGGACCCGACCAATCACGGTTTTTGTATGAACATTTGTTTTTAAGATGAACATTTGTAAAGGATGCACTGCCTTTGAATCCCAATTAAGAGAAATGTTATCTTCCCCAAAAACAATTTCTTCTCTTTAGATGTTTATTTTACAATGTACTCAATTATCATTATTGTTACTATCTTTTGGATTTTGTCAATAAAAACATTGTAGACATTTTTCTCTCTTCTTGTACAAACTAAAAACCCAACAAGATGTGTTGAGTCGCCTCTGACTCCTGGCAACCCCAGGTGCATCAGAGTGGAACTGTGCTCAGTTGGGTTTTTAATGGCTGAGTTTTCAGAAGGAGATCGCCAGGCCTTTCTTTCCAGGCCCCTCTCAGTGGTCTGGAACCTCCAACCTCTTAGTAGCCAAGCACATTAACCATTGCGCCAGGGATTTGTTGTTGTTATGTGCCATCCAGTTGGACCCGACTCATAGCGACCCCTCCTTGGGTTTCTGAGGCAGTATCACTACGGAAGTAGATTGCTCCATCTTCTTTTCAAGGGCCAATAAATTTACTCAGCAAATACTTAGACCTCTTACTATATAGGGAGCTCTGGTGGCATAGTACCTAAGGCATTTGACTGCTAACCAGAAGGCTGCCAGTTCAAACCCACCAGCCACTCCTCAGAAGGTAGACTGGGCGATCTACTTCTGTAGAGATACCGCTGGAAAACCCAAAGAACTTGCCTGAATGATGCGGGAGTACAAGATATGAAACTGTCAACAAACTCAAATTAGTGTTTTCCCATTGCATCCCTATCCATAGGTCAATGAAGACAGTCAACAATGGATATACCTCATCATTTTGATTTCCTGCATTAACTTTTTTTCCTAATTTTTATTTATTTTGTTTTTGGGAATATACACAGCAAAACATACTCCAGTCCAACAGTTGTTTCTATACATACAATTCAATGCAATTGATGATATTCTTCGAGTTGTGCATCCATTCTCACCCTCCTTTCCTGAGTTGATCCTCCCTCATTAACATAAACTCACTGCCCCCTAAGGTTCCTTATTTTTGGACTTGCTGTTGTCAATAGGATCCCATAGAGATAGATCTTAAAAGCATGATGCTCAAAGCAGACTTTTTTTTTTTTACTAGTTAAACTATTGTTTGGTCTTTAACATGACTTCAGGGGATATTTTTTGGTTTCAGGTTTAAAGATTATCTCTGGGCAATTGTTTCAAGAGTCCCTCCACCTTCCAGGGACTCCAGAAATCTGGAGTCCATGAGAATTTAATATTTTCTTCTACATTTCCTCCTTTTGATCAGGATTCTTCTCAGGAGTCTTTGATCAAAATGTTCAGTAATGGGCAAGAGCCAGTTCTTCTGATGTAATGGCAAAGGAGGCAGGTGTTCCTGGAGGCAACTGGCCACATGTTCCAGATCTTCTTCCTATTCCTAACTCTCCTTCTTCCTCTGTTGTTCCAGGTGAATGGAGACCAATTGTTGTGCCTTGGATGGCCAATTGCAAGCTTTTAAGACCCCAGGCACTAGTCATGGAACTAGGAAGACAGAAACACTAAACATGTTATTAGGCCAATTGACTGGGATGTCACGTGAAAGCATGACCCTACACCTCCAAAACAAGGAACCAAACCTCATGAGGTGTTTGGTTGTATGTAGGCAACCTCAGAAGTTATTTTTGAAAAATTATTATTATTATTTGTCTTTATTATAAATATACCTATTACACAGATTTTGCCAATTCAACTTTTTACAGGTGTACAACTTATTGACAGCAAATA